GAACATGGGCGGTCAGATATTGAGAACCGTAATGTTCATTTACGAGCTGTGTCGAATGCATGCACACTAATAAGCTATATACGAATGCATCTAAGTGCATCTTCGGGGCCGAAGAGATTCCCTTTCTAGGGTGCTTTATTGGGAAGCGGGGCCTAAGAGCGGATCCCGCCAAGGTCAAAGCCATAGTCGATTGGCCGGTTACACAGTCTCAGAAGGACTTGCGCAAATGGCTTGGCCTTGCAAATTACTTACACAAGTACAGCGAGAATTACGCTTATATGTCTCGGCCATTATCGAATCTTCTTAAAAGGATGTGGAATGGTGTTGGCATGCCAAAAACGAGGACGCTTTTCAAGCGGTGAAGGCTAGCCTTCTTCATGCTCCCATTTTGACTTTGCCAGACCCTGATCGACCGTTTAGTGTCGTCTGTGACGCATCAGATTTTGCCATTGTCAGTGCTCTGTTACAAACAGATGATGAAGGACGTGAGCGTGTGTTTGCCCTTGTAGTCCGCTAGCTGAAAAATGTAGAGAAGAACTATCCAGTTCATGACAAAGAGCTACTTGCAATGAAGTATGCCCTGGTCAAATTCAGAGTTCATCTGCTGGGCTCGAAGCCTTTTGTGATCTATACCGATCATGCGTCTTTACGCACTGCGGCTCAGTCGCCGCATCTCTCGCAGAGAATGACCAGATGGCTATCATTCTTTGCTGAATATAACTTTGAGGTGAAGTACAAGCCGGGAAAGCAAAACGCTTTGGCTGATGCGTTGTCACGCATACCTGACTATGAGCTTGTTCATGTCAAGATGTTGTCTTCATTGATCACGGATCAAATTCGTGCTGTATACGCTAAGGTTGACTACTGTGTAGCTATGCTACTTGCCCTTGGCATTTTGCAATTCGGACATCAAGTTGTCGACACGACTATGTGCGAGCCTCCATCGATATTCTATCGACCAGGGGCTGTTGTACTATCGTACAGATGTGGCGGATCCTCCGCGTAGTGTGGTTCCTCATGAAGAGGACCTGAAGTATCGTATCCTCTATGAGGTACATGACACCGCCATCGGTGGTCATTTGGGTCGTCAAAAGACCTATGGGGCAGTATGCCAAAGTTATTGGTGGCCCAAATTATATAAATGGGTGAGCACATATGTGCGTACGTGTGAAACGTGTCAACGGGTGAAATCCTCGCCCCATTCGGCAGCGCCGCTGGATAGCTTGCCTATTCCCACTGGGTGCTGGGAGTCCATTAGTATGGATTTTGTATTTGTCCTACCGAAAGATTCGCATGGCAATACAGGTATTGTGGTCTTTGTTGACCACTTGAGCAAGATGGCTCACCTAGCGGCTGTGCCAGATTCGATCGATGGTGTGGGTACAGCGGATCTTTTTATCGATCGAGTATTTCGCCAACATGGCTTGCCAGTGGCAATTGTTTCTGATCGTGATCCTCGTTTGCGAGTAAATTTTGGAAGTCCGTCTTCCAGGTGCTGGGCACTTGTTTGGACATGTCCACAGCGGATCATCCGCAGACCGATGGTCAAACCAAACGTGTTAATCGCGTTGTTGAAGATATCCTACGCAGCGTTTGTGCTGAAACGCCTAAGCGTTGGAGCGCTATGCTCCCTGTAGTTGAGTTTGCACTCAATAACTCCATGCACGCCTCTACCGGCTACACTCCATTCTATGTCAATGGCCTCACACACTCACGCGTTCCGTTAACGCTACCACCGAGTGGTTCAGGGCTTGGTGGGGGAGAGGTTGCCGATCGTCTTGCTCATTTCATCCCAAATACTGTTAAGAAACAGGTAAATGCGTTTCTCGCAACGCGACTAAATGTCTTACGACATGTGCAAGATGCAATGGCTGATAGTCAAGATAAACAAAAATAATATGCAGATGCGAAAGTCAAAGGTTTTATTAATGATTATGAGGTCGGAGACCAAGTATTACTTAATGCTAAAAATCTACCTACCAATGTAGTATCCGCTGTCTTTAAGACGAAGTTGCGTCCGCGCTTTATTGGACCCTTTACGGTCATTGCCAAGAAAGGCACAGCGTATACGCTTAACTTGCCGCGCAAATTGCGTACACATCCTGTATTCTATGTCGGCATGCTCAAAAAGTATCGGGATCCGTTCTAAGTAAACATTAAGGCGCTCGCGCCGAGACCATTGGCATTGTCGCGGGACGAAGCATCTGCGCCAACATGTCAAGCTGAACCTGCATACGGGTCCGACTCTCTTCCAGGGACGCAAGCCGGGAGTTCATCGTCTGCCTCTCCTCACGAAGGAACCTCACCTCCTGAATAAGCTCGGCATGAGCTTGTGCCGGTACACCGGCCTTCTCCGGCTTTGATTGATGCGCAGGGGAACCTTCAGTTCCATGTGGAGCGTCTACTGCAGAAGCGTCGCCGCCATGGTCAAAACCAGAATCTGGTAAAATGGCGGGGTTATCCCGAGTCGTGGAACTCATGGGAGTTTGAGATTCCCCTTCGGCAGGACTGCCCATACGCCGTGGACGGTTTTTGAGCGTCGTGCGCAGGGTCAGTCTGTTGGCGCTGACGCTTCTCACCAGTAATGGTGGGTGTAGGCGAGTCAGCGGCCTCGGCCTGTCGTGGACTCGCGGCTACCGGTGTAGCCGAAACATTGGGATGCTGGGTAGCTGACGCATAATGCGTTCGTTGGGATTTCAATTTTCCCCGAGTCTTCAATTTAGCGTAATCGTAACGCATCTTCCGCTCGAGTCGAACATCTGCACATCGGCACTTACCCGTAGGGCCCACATGCTGCTTAAACGTCGCGCATAATGCGTCCAGCGGCTGAAAGCCATGTCTTCTTCGTCCTCGGTTTCCCCCGCGAACAGAAGGATGGGAACACCCTTTATGGGAGGAACTGGCGCACCGCGCACTTGCCTGTTAAGGCGTTCCAAGTATTGGCTTTGTTTAGTAACGCGAAGTTCCAGATGTCGTTGTCGAAGTGCCGTTCGCGTGGCAACATCCTCAGGTGAAATGGCCTCAGGCCCAATGGTCCAGCCAGAAAGGGAATGCCCAGATGCCTCCTTGAGGCGTTCTTCCACCGTAGGTGGTTTGAACCTGTACTGTCGGTGGTCCTGAAGTCTCGCCATATTCTTCGTCCGGCGCTTGGCGTCTTCCTCTTGGTCGATGGTCTGCTGTTGCTGCTCGTCGAGTGGGTTGGTAACCGTTACCGTTGATGATACGTCAGGCGGGTCACGTTACGCTGTTAGCGCATCTGCAGCACCACGTTCAGGGAACGGATTCGTGCATGACGAGTGTCATCTTCACCCGTGAGGGTGGCTAAAGAGGACCCATCGGGTCTCACAAAGACGGTCCTACGAGAGGCACCACCGAGTCTGGGTAGCTATCGCTGGACGATCGTCGGTGAAGGCATAATCGTAGGCCACTTGACGGAGATCGAACATGGCCAAACCCGCCCCGTCACTCTGCACCAAGCTAATGATGGGATACACTTGCCATGAATTACTGCCGGAGCTCACTGATGATTCGCCGTCTGATCGACAGGCGATTGGTTGCGCTATTTGAAGAGAGGGTCTCGCATTTGAGGCGAACCCGCAGCTTTATCGGTTTCCTTAGTCTGTTCCGAACACAACGTCGAATCTCTTCATCACGAAGGCTTTAGGCAAGCAAGCCTTCCAGTTCCACAAAAAGTTCTCGCCCGTCAACTTTCGGCTCTCGTTGATTGACTTTCACTATTGGCAACGACGGATGAATGGCAAAGCTCCAGCAAACGCTGACGCAAGTGTGGCATCATAGTAATGATCTCACTCCATATCAAGTCTGGACAGGGTATCGGGTGACGACAAGACAATTAAATTTGTATCACGCCGAGAGAATCGAACACAATTGTTGCAGAAAGACACCGTATTGCAGCGGCAGGAAGGAGACCATTGTTCATCTGTTTTGGGAATGTGATTGCGCTGCAGCGCTTATATAATAGCTCATCGGTCACTGGACCGACAAATAGTCACCCGACATTCCACCCAAAATTTTCTGGGGGCCTGTGCCAGTCGACGAGTTACCAGCATACCCGAGTACCGCACGAAATATTAGCGGATCGATTTCAGGATGACTCCAATGAAGCCGAACACGTCTGGACACAGATTTGATATGTCCTCGCGACGATATGCCAAACACGGATTTGGATGGACAGGAATGCATCCGTCTTCAAGGCTGTCACACTCCACATTCCCAGCAGCATCGCCAGCTTTTGGGCCTCGTGCCTTTGTCAGCTCCGAGCAATCGCAAAGAGAGAGCATCGAAACAATAGGCCAGTCACACGTGGTGCCTTGCTTTATACTTGCATTGAATTGCTTGAGCGCGACCCTAGAGTTCTACAGTGGCCAGCCATGATATACCGTCGGGTCATCCGGCGCTGATATCCTGGCTCCCCAATACATCCATGTTACGTGTACACGAACGTTGGCACGCTTCTTTGTAGAAGCACACAATCAGGTAGGCTTTTCATTTTTTTATTTACCACTTCCTCATGACACGCGTTCAATATCGTAAAGATACGAATCGTTTGATTACATCCTTGATCACAATTTAACGTTCTCCTGGGGCATAATTACTAATCCGCGCCCGTGTCAGTTTGCTATCCCGATTATGTCTACGCATTGCTAAAGCCTTCGCTAGCACATATATTATACAATTATAGAATGTTATGTTGCCGAGGTCCTTCGAACAGAGAGCATGTAATAGTTATGCGCCAAAAAATGCTGGCAAGGCATTTCCATAAGACACGCAAAACCCCACTTGATTGCAAAGACGTGTAAGTGTGGCAATGGAATATTTTTTTAGCCTAATATTGACAACGTCGTTTAAATCCTTCTATCGTTTCTAAAGATTGTAGTCGCAAAATGTCAGTACCCGTTGCATAGCCTTGGTAAATTCAAGCTTCAAAAGTTTGTCTGTTGTCGAGAGAACAAGGTGATTTGATTCCGGCAAAGCCTCGTTCAAGTCGAACCTTTCTGCCGTTTCCGCTCTGTACCTTGCAGCTCATGAGCGACACGTTTCAACCGATCAATCTTTGTTTTTGTTCCTTTCGATAAAACACTGTCCAGATTGTCCTTGTAAACTGTTTTAAGGCTGGACAGCATTGTCTTACTTGCTTCAAGATCATTCGAGGATATTAACTTGACGAAGTCGACCCACGCGGACAAAGCCGGGTTTTTGAATGGGTCGTCATTTGTCGAATCGAAACCCAAAATTTCGAGAAGGGCGGCCGCATCTTTATTTTTAGTTTTCCACTCGTCGAACTGGTAGTTTAGTAGATATTGAGCAACCGCTTTCTTACTAGCGGCAGCATCCAGCGCACCCACCAAAGCATTCATACTTTTGTAATAAGGAAATACTCTTTTGAGGATCACCTCATATGCCTTGTCCGAACTGTACGATTTCTCGACGAAGTTAAACCACTGGAAAAAGACCGGGCTATTCAAAGGGTCATTATTCGTCTTGTGGAGCTTTAATTCCTCGAATACTTTGCTCTCATCTAGTTTGTCGTGTATCCACTTTGTGACCTGCAACTCTAGCAGATTTTTCACGATCTGTCCATTGGAGTAATATGTCATTGCCGGAGTTAGAGCACTGTGAGAGCATGTTCGCTCCCAAAATGAGTGGCCAACAACTTGAGTATTGCCTCATCTGCCTTATCTGGTAACAATTTGCTTACATTGTCCCTCCACTTGATAATGGGGTTGCCTTTAAACATCTCGGGGCTATCAATAAGTTTGAGTAGCCCTTCCCTGATTTTCTTTATTGACGAAAGCTTCTCACGCTTAATGTGATAACTAAGATTTTCAAACGTATTTGGTTCAAAAAAGCTCTTTAGTACGTCGTCAATAGCCGTCGGCGCGATTGCTCTTTCTTCAGGCTTGTCGTCAGAATATTACGATTCCATGTCCGCGTTTGAGACCGAGGCTAAGGTGTAAGTAATATTTGATGTCGTAAAGTCGTAGGTGGTACGGATGACATCCTTCGGCATCGCGGAGGCCGCGTTCGCAGATGACCACGCGACTAGCGCGAGAGCAATTAGCATCGTCGTAAGCTGCGCTTGACGCAAGTGCACAGTGGTCTGGCAAGCAAATAGTAAAGTGGGAAGGCTGGGTGTGATCTCGACTGGCTACTGGAACCATGAAATGGTTGGAATGGCAGACATCATTTCCGCCAAACTCGCCTGGCTATTCTTGAGGGTATTGACCTTTCTGAGCTGTACTGCGGAAGTATCTTCAAGGGACCGAGCACATCGCGAACCGTATCACTATCGTCACGTAGAACAAAAAGCAGTGTTTACATTCTTTATGGATAATACCTGATCCAGAGCAATGCGGTGATGTCGACAGTGTGGTTTTAAGGAAACCAGGCTGGCGCTGGGTGCCAAACTGTGGCACATTTGTTTGTTGACAAAGCGCACCGTATGAATTTGACGGTTGTGTGAATGATCTTATTAACTTAGGAAGCTATAGTGAGCAGCAAACTTGACGTTTTGATGTTTGAGATGATGAGAGACTATTTAATCCGATCGACACAACGTAGTAAGTATATGTTTGATATGGACAGTAGCGCAAAGAATGGCACAGCCACAGTTTAGAAAATGCTATGTTCATGCTCAATTTTCATGTGTAGTAGTGATGCTCTACTTCAACTACCTCTACTGTAGGAGAGATCATCTGTTCTGCGCTGGACGTATGAAGCATTCCGTCTAGCGTTTACAACGGTCACAACATTAGCTTAGAAGTGCGTTGCCGCCCTCAAACTTTTACACACTGAATCGTGGCGCTATAAAGCTGTCAGCATCGTCTCTTTAGCTGCCTCAGCGTGAAACTTGCAAGAGCTCAGAGCTGGCACAAGCTCTGAAACATCTTGTTCTTGGCTCAGCCCGGCGACATGTTATATGTTCAGCAGAAGGGACAAGTCATAGAGCAGATGCAGATTATCGTGTAAGTGTATTGATAGATGGTGCTGCAGACACAGCAGCTAGAATGGCACAGGTTTTGTACACTTATTCCCTTGTAAATGCATTTCTGGCATGCTGGCGGGGAAGTAACACATCCGAACGAGGCCCTTCGGCCGCTTATTGCGCGACCGATGTTTGAGCAACCAAGAACCTGGCAACAGGAACGATAAATGTATGTACGCAATCGAAATGCTGAACGCACCCTGCGACCGGAGGAGGGGACCGTTGAATGATTTTTTCTAGGGCTCGCTGTTGGGAGGTACTTAGGACAACAATGTGACGCGGCGAGTGAGGATTGAATCTTCTTTTTAGGTACAACATTTGAATACAGAGAGAGACCGCACGCTTTCACCCTTCCCCGTCTCCACTTCCTGGCGTAAATAATTTTTGCACCGAAATTATAGAGAAAGACAGACGGGTCTACTTGACCGTTTCGGGGTTGCAGGATGCCCGGTAGCTCCTAAGGATGGTTAGCAACGCCGGTGCTCGATCATGTCCAGTGATTGTACAGGGCTGGCTATCTGGGGTGACGCTCTTGGGATTGTATGGCTATGCTGATGCTGCATAGCAGCATACGTGTACCGTTGTTTATGTCCTTTTAGACCGCTCGAGCGGCCCGTTTGTTTGTAGTTCGTGGTCGCCGGAGTGACGACGCGTGTTGTGAGGTGTAACCTTATGACCGCTTGACGTAAGAACCAAAACGCTTGTAAAGTCATGATGGCGTACGCGGCCCGGAATAATACTCGATTAATGAAAGGCTTGCTCGGGGCAAAAATATAGAAGATTACAATGTTGAAACCACGGCCATTGCCCTGCAGAATATATGGACACGATCTACTGCATGGTTTGTAGTCGGGTGATGTTATTTGGACTTCACGCCTACTTGACGGATAAGCGCGAGAGTAGGGCGCTCGAGTTTTCACCACCATGTCGCTTCCAAGCTTGCGTATTAATATCCTTAACTCGAGGGAACGCAAGGCCAACGAGCTTAATATGGTAGACAGTCCGCAGCCTATCGACACGTGGCGGGGTGTACTTCTTAAGCAGTTCGTTGGTAAGAAGTTACGGTTCATGTGTGGCTTCTCAGCTGACAAGGCCATTGCAGGATGCTGAATAAGATGACGGCCGTGAGTGGTGGCCTTGTCGACGAGTGATGAAAAGCTGCAGGAGCGCATCTACTTGGTAAAGGCTAATCTTTTTCGTAGTGTCATGCTATATGAAATGATCTATCGCTGGTGAATGCAGCGTTAAAGGCGGAAAGAAGCATACTATCTCAAACATTATGGAAGGCGTGAACACCGCCTGACCGCGTCACGGGCATCATCAGACGACGAGTTAGTCGTGGTATGCGGCACCGTGTCCTCACGACGGAAGCATGTCTGGCGTTCGTACTTTAGGAATCGATCAACGGCGCAGCACCTAATACAGTAGTTGGCTCCTACCTTTCGACTCCAAAAGCCGCCCTAGATTCGTAAGTTGTGTACTTGTTATAGGGACTTGTAATTATGATTTATCTATGTCGCTATTAGAAATCGATGGATGCATTTCGTAATCTGAATTTAACTAATCCAAGCATGTCGTATTTCGCGTTGATACATGACACTGCAAAGGAGATGTTTGCTGTTCGCTGCAGTATCAGGTGCCCAAGACTTTGAGGTAAACATAATTCAACTTCGTTTATTACCATACCTACTCTAGGTATGGTACCGTTAGGAGCGAGACATTGCCTCCCATTTACCAATCGGCTAAAAGCACAAAAAGAAAGAAGCATGAAAACTGACAATTGTATCAGTTACTTTGCCAAGTCCGGCAGAGCGCGAGATTAATGTCAACTCCATTGTATCTTCTCGCATAGAAACCGTTCCTATACTCTCTGCAACCTCTAAGATGTAAAAATTCTGTCATATAGCGTATTACACCACCGCAATCTTTTCATCAATGAAGTAAATGAGGATGTCAAGGTAGTAGTATAACTTTATTGTCATTCCTTTGCACCTTTGTTTTCTCGTAGATTGCCGTAGCATCCCACCTGATCACTTGGCATTTCTCTTTGCGTATCGCATTCGAGCGACGAAAAAGCCGCCCAACTTTGCGCTGAACTTCCATGGATTAAGGATTTAAACATAACCCCTACTCAGCCCTCGATACTCTTGATATTCTTCTTGTTAATATGCATTCTGTCAACAGTTGAAATCCTCATCAACAGTCGTTGCTTCACTAACATAGAATACTCACCGGCAATCTCGTTAAGATCTTGTCGAATTAAAAATGTATTCTATTCCACAGTAAAGTGATGACTTACTGGTCATAGTTGAAGTAAAGGATCTGCGACAGCAAGTTATTCCAAGCGAGTTTCATTAAGCATTGAGTTTAATTCGAAAGGGGTTACCCGCGGCTGCGTCACCGAAGTGATGGAGCCAAGCGAAGCAAATCATCTACAAGGTGAAGAAAGCGGGAGGCAAGGTGTGCCATATTGCGATGACGCTTCGTGAGGAACTGTGAGATGAGAAATGCGATGCCAAGGTATATAAGTGTCACTTCAAGGAATACGACGATGGACTAAAGGGCGTCAAGGGTATGAAAGGCTTTAATCGCGCTTGTCAAGTTCTTGGAAGCGACCATGCCTGAGCATAATGAGACGATCCGATGTTAATGACAAGATCGAAAAACTGCTACAGCGTCTATTAGTAGTGGAATCATATCAATGTACATGACGCCGATAGTCCGTCATTGCTAAAAAGGAAACATTGATGCTTAAGTTGCGCTGTATATAATTTGGTCTATCTTACGAACACTCACATCAATGAGATCGACAACTGAGACCAAGAATGAAGCAAATTTGAAAATTAATGTAGCAATCCTACAAAAGACTAAATTGACAAAATAATGCCCAAAATTCACTGCAAGTTTATCTTTGTAGTTACTTTTGCTCGCAGATTCTTTGTACCAAGAAGCACTTGCACTCCAGACGCAGCTGAATTGATGGCATCATTGACCGAGAGCGCAGCTTTCATTTCTCTAATTACACGTGGGTGATGGATATTCGTTAACGGGATGAGTCCGTTACATAATATTGACACTTATATAAAGTGTTAATTAGAATATCATCATAATTAATAATATTCGATAATATTATCTTTACTTATATTATTGTTCTTGCATCTTCTTGAAGTTGGAAATGACCTTTGACTGGTTGACATAGGCCATTATAGCAACCAACGCGCTGATCAATGTGCTGTAAATTGAACGAAAAGGACAGCAATAGCACACACACAATTTAGATGCAAAAGAGAGAGTGATATTTGTTTCGTTATTCCCCTAATCCTGGTCGGGTTGGGATGACGACCTTCCAAAAAGCTTGAGCCAGCATGATGTTCGCTCAGACCTTCTGAACGGGTGCGTCACAGCATCCTCTAGTCTCTCCATCAATTCACTTCTTTCTAATCTCTCTCATCCCCAGCGCCAGCCAAGCCGCCACGAGGCACGCAGCCACGCACGAAGCAACCTCGGCATCTTCGCTTAGGTACGTTTAATGTTCAATCCATTGGTTCCCAGCGTAAGTAGCATTAGACTCTTCCTCGAGATCTGTCGACGTACATAATCGACATCTTAGGGATCCAAGAAACTCGTATTGCCTACCAAATCAGGCAAAAGACCGGTACGTATCATCGCCTGACACTCCCATGCTCCAACCGTTGGCATGGAATTGGTTTTGCGACTGCTCCCCATTTACGCAGGTTTTTCTAACGATACTGAGCTCAATCTGACCGAGTTGAAACTCTCCAACTACGTCTGTTTAAGGCCCAACGAGTGAACATTGTCAACGCATATGCACCCCATAACGGATATCCTGTAGAAGCAGCTGACAGCTTTTACTTTGACCTGATTACAGCGATTTATCGGCTCCCTCAACGCGACACGACAAAACTTCTTGGTGACTTTAACGCAAAAATTAGTCACTGTCGCGAACACCAATCATTTCTTGGGCAATGGGGCCGTGGTCGACGAAATCGCAATGGCCACATTCTCGCCTCTTTTCTGTGACACTTTAACGATTTGTTATTAGTAACATAGCTTTTAGA